AAGAGAAGATAAGAACTAACACCCACACCCACACCCACACCCACACCCACACCCACACCCACACCCACACCCACACCCACACCCACACCCACACCCCACACCCACACCCACACCCACATCCACACCCACATCCTCAAAGTGGCCTGTTGACAGCTCTGATACGTGCTAAGGATATTGATGCAAAATAAAGTATGAGGTTGGAGTGTGAATGTGCAGTTGATGAAATACAGGAATTCATATCCGCATCTACATGTTTGATTAGTAAGATCAAACAACACGTTTTTATGATTTACTCATATGTTAAATATTTTCAAATAAGAGAATATTGTTTACACTTCATAGAACTCGAATTTAAGAGATTTTTACTTTTTGATGATATCATTATATAATAGAAGTCTCTTGAAATTTCAACCGGTTCTCTATATCAAAAATTCTATCAAATTATTTAGCAAATTTTTATATTGAATATAAATGACGAATATTTTTTTAGTAGCAAAAAATTCATTATGCTTCCTTAAAAAGAGATATATTACTGTATTAGGATGAACAATTATATTAAGCCGAGTTAATTAGTTTTTTTAAAAAATCGTCCAAGAAGCTAAAGAAAAAAAACAAAAATACATCGTTAAAATTTAATTATTTTCTATATAATTAAAATATTCGTTGTGAAATCATTAATAATCCGATCATTCATGACTTTTTATTTAGAAAGAGTTTTCTTCAATGACGATTATATGGATCTTTACAGCTGTGAAAAAATTTCAAAGATAAAACATTTTAATAAATATTCATTTTTTTCCATCCTTCAAAATTTGGTTTAATTTCTAGAAAAAATATCTGAATGAAATGAATAACGAAATTGAATTGCGTTAGTATTGTATTAGAAATATATTAGATCAATTATAAAAGAAGACTTTCTTTTTTTTCTCGACTTTCATCAATCCAAAGCAATATGAAATGTGAACAGTTAACCAATATTGCACAAACCGGTCGAAAAGCGTAAGTTAGCCATTGGTATTTTGGCAATGAAGTCATAGAAATAACTCGAACAATCATGGATAATCGACAATTTTCGACCAGTTTGTGCAACATGGAAATATATTTATCTAAACTTTATAATGAACTTTGCATAAATAAGATATCAAATTACATAGACCATGCTATCAGAAAAGTGTTTCTTTTGTGATCATTCACTATCAGAAAATTTGGAGTTAATTAATGTCAAAGAAAGGATCCATCGTAGTAGTTTTACAAACTTACGTTTTTGGGTGTGGATGTTCATTTGTTAACACCCACACTTGACAGAGCAGGACTTTTTGTAGATAATCTTAAGGCAAATAAAGTAAGTTATTAATCTAACTCGTTTCATAAGGATATGGACGTGGGGTATAGATTATCACACAAAAAACAGATCAAGACCTCCACTTTCATCCACCACCACCACAACCTGCACTTTCATGCTTAAACCCATAGAATCATACTTTTATCGTAGTACAAATCAACCCATATTCACACATACTTTCGTGTGTCTCAATAATAGTAAAACCAAATCGTACAACATATAAAAGTACATTTTTGAAGAGAATATATTAGAAAGCAAGTTTTTAATTACAGAACACAAGTTCCATTTGCTATCACATAAAAGTCAATTAGTGTAAAAAAGTCTCTGGATAGAATACGTGCATCAGCTTATGAAGTAGATCAATGCATTACTTATTCCAGATTTGAACTACATTTTGGGTATGAAATATTATGATTTTCCAATTGATGATAGTGTGGACCAATTTTACTCATTGATACTCCTTGCCCCATTTCAATTCGTCTTAAAAAATCCAGTCTTTTCTCGCCAGGTTTGATGGTTATTGGATCAGATCCAGGAAAATTTTCAAATGTAAAAGTTCCATTGGCAATTATGTCGTCTTTGCTCTCCTCACTTACACTTTTCAATTGTTCAACTGTACATAATTCGTACCAAATTGTAAGTCGAGTTTTTGATTTTTGAGGATAAATTACTCGATGAATACCTGGTTTCAGGCGATTTCCCGTTATTCGTGATGCTGCTTCTCCTAACCAAATTACACCAATATCCGATTGTAATGGTCCATCAATCCATTCGTTTGTTGTCATATTTTTCAATTGAAGTCCTTCATGTGTTGATAATATACTAATTGAAAGTAAACCAGGATCATAATGTGGAATACAATTAACTTCGTCTGTTGTTTTTCCATTTTCAGGTGGTTGAAAACCACTTTTCTTATTAAAATACGATACAATATCGAGCATACCAAAATGTTCTTCATCTAAAGGAAGATCAGCATGTTTGGTAAGCGATGATAAAGATGAAATTGGTTGAAAAACAGAATGTCGAACAAGAATTTCAATTAAACGTTTTGTTACAGCATCGAATGCTTGGGAAATATAGTTTAACGGTTTAATAAGTGTACGTGGTACTAATCCTTCATATGCAAATTCACCGAAGTAACTTCCTGTTAATAATTTAATACCTTCTTTATGATGTATTGCTGAATACCCATATATTTCTTTGAATTGTGAATAGTAACGTTTCGATGAATCATTGGATTGAAAAAAATTTGATAGTTCATCGATTAATTTTGAATTCGGAATGAGTTCTGTTGGTAAGAATACAAAAGACCAACCATTTGTTTCTAATTCAATATTCAATCGTTGTATTTCTGTAGGATCTTCGAAATTTAATATTTTTTTCAAATCGATAATACTTTGTGACTTTTCTGCCGACATAAATATTTTCTTGAGTGAATTTGCGTGTGAAGTTGAGTGTTTTGTTTTCTTTTCGTTTATTTAGAATATTTATTTTTCTATTACTCTCCTCTATATCAACATACTGTTATTGCACAATGGTTTGTGAGTATGATGTCACTTCCTAACCGTTCATTGATGACACATAGGGGAGAAAATAAATATTAAGCACAATCTTATATATTATATTGAAATAGAATTTTTTCTCAAGTCTTAACTTTTCTTTTGACCATTTAAAAAACTATATTTATCTATTCTAATTTATATATGTATTCGCTGATATTCTGTTCAGCAAAAAAAGTCTAACTTCTGTGAATTTTTAGCTCAAAAATTGCATAATGATATAAAATATTGGGTGTAACAGAATACTTTGACAAGATAATATGAAGAGGATGCATTTGGATACAAATATTTTAAAACAAAGATACTGTATCTTTTACATCAATAGAAGCTATGAATCATTGTCGGTTATCCATGAATCACAACAGAAAGAAAAAATAATCTATTGTTGGCACATTTTGTTTTTGAGTGAGCTAATGTTTATTACGTCCTTCGACGTTTATGATGGAGTGGACAGCACACACATAGAAAGGTTAGAACTTGGCAGAAAGAAATGCATAGAAAACAAATAAGTGTTAACTAATACAAATCGGGTATGGAGTATGGTTCTAAAAGATGCTGATACTACATTCATACCCATACTCTACTTGGTTTCATAGAAGAAGTAAACTTACATGAATTATTTCTCGTTCTTGTACTTTACTTAAATTGAGTATATAAAGTATTTTAATAGTATTATTACAATCCTATATTCATGAAAAATAAATCTTTTTTTTTAAATAATGAACAAAAAAATATTTTATATACACTATGAATTTGGATGTGGGTGTTTGTGTTAATCTAAGTCCATCTAAACCCATACCCACATCCACACTCACCTCCTGAAACTATACACTCACAACCACAATCACATTGGGCACGTGTACATTGATTGCTTACGTTTAAAGTTGGAAAAAACCCACTGTAAAGAGACATAAAATGTGTGGGTGTGGGTATGGGTGTGGGGTGTGGATGTGGGTGTGGGTGTGGGTGTGGGGTGTGGATGTGTTCTTTCTTCATTCATATCCACACCTTACACCCACACCCCACAACCACACCCACACCCACACCCGCACCCGCACCCACACCCATACCCACACCCACACTCACCCACACACCCACACCCACACCCCACACCCACCCACAATGCTATACATCAATAAACTAAGAATCAATTTGGGCAAAGCTACAATACGATCTCCTATCTATTTTGTGTTTTTTTCAACCATATGCCAATGAAAGTAATGAGAAAAATCTTTTAAAAATTGAATTATATAAAATATTCAGCTGCAATAGGATGCGATAGTTGGTATAAGTGTGAGTACAGATGTGAACGC